ATCCCAGAATGGCTGGCTGGGGAATTCTGGGAGTTGAAGTCCACGCCTCTTCAAGTCGCCAAGGTTGCGGAACCCTGCTCTAGCCCAAGGAGGAAAAACAGGCAATTCCTTTCCGTCCTCTGCCTAACATCAGATCAACAGTTTCCCCAAACCCTGAAGCAAGAGCTGTGTGTTGTGTTTAATTTTTTATTTTTGTCTTCCAGGAAAGGGTTCAGCCAGTCAAGAAACGTTTCCTCCCCTCCTGTCTCCCCTTTGTGGTACCCCAAAGCCGCCAGCACCCATCACCCCCGAGCGGCCACCCAAGCCAGCGCAGCACAGCAGGGCCAGGAGAGGGGATTCCTCCTCTCCCCATTTCAAGCCAGGGAATTCAACATATTTTTCTGCTTTCTCCATCTCTAGCCGAACTCCTTTCTCCAGGCTTCAGTAAATTCCTCATCAACGGAAGCATTGAGACGTCCGGGCTTAAGAACGCTGGGTCCGCGGGCAAACTGTTCGCCGTAACTACGGAACGCCTTATCGGATAGCCTTTGGGTGCCCTTACCCTCAAGTATTGTTTAGTGAGCTGCACTGCTTGATTATTCATTACCGTTTCAGCGTGGGGTTTCTGAACACGTTAGCCTGTTCGCAAACCTCTAATGTTTGGTCTCGATAGAATCGGCACCCAGCAGGATTGACACCGGTTCATTCCATCTGGTATCACCACAGCAGCAAGGTGCCTTTTTGCCCCAGAACTTGGCAGAACAATGGTTTTGTTCACATTAACAGAGTTAATGGAAACATGGTTTACTGAATGAACACAATCACACAATCCCAAAAGCCACACAGGCTGGGTTTGATCAACACACCAACTGCCTATCGGAAGAGCCGCGTGGCTCTGTATTACCCATCTGGCAGACACCGTTTCTTGTGTTCTTACAGCTTTCTATATTATTATTATTATTATTATTATTATTATTATTATTATTATTATTATTAATATGCCACCCCCAATGACTCCAAATAAATTCACAGCCTCCCTCTCAAGCACTCGATAAATGACCTCTTCGCCTTCTCGGTGGCCTTCTCTCCAGCAAAACCAAGTTCCAGTAACTACTTTCATCTGAAGTCTGTATCTTGTCTGATTTTTCCGTTTTCTTTTGCTATATTGTTTTATGAAGCACCAGAATTGGACGCTGCTGCCCTCAGAGAGCTCCTGGTGGCAGCAGCAACAGCTGAGAGTGGGTTGAAGCTACAGCTTCATGCCCAGAAGGGGCTGCTGCCAACGTACCTTTGCTCCTTCTAATACCTCCCCATTTGCTGGCTGTTCCACGTGGAGCTGAGCTGGGCTGTGCTGGATGAAGTCCGTGCTGCGACCCCCCACCCCCAGATGGGCATCATTTCCAGCCTGTGAGCCCGAGCCATCCTAAGAGGAACCTCACCTGGAACCTCTCTTCCCCCGGCAGGGCAGGGCACAGGGCCGCCTTCCCCGCGTCTGTAACAAAAACAGGAAGGGAGGAGAAAGTGGCCTTGGCGCTCGAGAGGCGATCTGCTGCTCTCCAGATGTTTGGGGCCACAGGATAATCTTTGAGACTGGCTGTACTGACAGAGGCAAATGTGACCTGATACATCTGGAGCACATCAAGTTGCTTCTCTCTACTTCAGAACAATGCCTGATCATGCACCAAGCTTGGGCGATGCAATTTTAAGATTTCTTGAGAATGTAGGATGACCTACAGTTCTCTGTTCATGACATAAGATAATTTGCTGGTAACAAAAGCGCTCCCAGCCTCTTCAGAAATAAGGATTAAACAGCGGAGGTTGGAGGCGGAGGGGCAAAGGGTGAGGAGAAAAAAGGGCTGCCGAGAGGCCCCCACCCGATACGAGGGTTGCAGTCCAACATCACCGGGGGCACTTTCTTAGGGAAGGGCAGAAAGAAGACGCTTGAAGGAGGAAAGGATCAGGGAGAGAGGACCAAATGTGGTTTGGGGGCATTTTCTTATTGTAGAGATCGAGGCTGGAGGAGCATGGTTGCTGGAATGTCTCTGCCACTCGCTTCCGTATGGATGCAAAACCTGCACATTGGCAGAGAAACCAGCACCGGTAACCAAATATTACAAAGCCCTCTGAGAGCTACCCACTTAGGCCATTCTGCATCTCAGCTCAGGAGAGCCGAGTGCACGGACGGCACGGCACCCTGGAGAAAAAGGAGTATCTTTGAGGGGACCAAGACGTTTCCTTACCTCAGGCGGCTGGACTAGACATGCCAGGGTGTGCAAGTCCTGCCTGGCACTCGGCACCATCTGGGGCCCTAGAAGTGGATCCTTGTTCCAGGAAAGCCCAAGTGGGGGAGCGTCTGCAGGTAGCTTCCTTGCTCGACCATCCACGCCTCTTGGTCCCTGCCTTCTTCGCACCTCCATCTCCATGGCCCCATCTTTTCTCTCTGGGGGGCCCACCCAGAACTATGGCTGCTTTCCTAGCCCAGCAAGAGAAGCATGAAGGGTGCGTGGTCAATGGGCAAAGCCAGGGCGGCTGCGGGGAGGCCGAGATTCGGGTCCACAGAAACTCCCTGGGGGAGCCCATTTCTCTCAGCCCGTCAGCCTTACAGGACTGCGACTGTAAAGAAACCGAAAGCAACAGCGCTTCGAATGCTGCCATGAACTCGGGGCGAAGCGGAGTATAAATATATCCACGAGGGCTTCACAAAGCCTTGACTACAATATTCCTTCTCCAACACATTGGCTTTCTCCCTTCTTTTTGCATAATTTAATTTATTTCACTTAATAGCCTACCCAAAGTTCAGGGAGAAAAAATATCATTTCCCCACATACACAAGCTCATAATAATTTTTTAATGAAGGAAAAAGATGGAGCACAGACAGCAGACAGGAGCAGAGGTGTTACACAAACTAAAAAAAACAAAAACACTATCCTCTTTCAGCCACCAATCCCCAAGTTTCACCTTTTCGGTAAGTTTTCCCCAAACAGTTACAGCAGCACTATAAAAGAGCATAAAAATAGAGCTTAAAGAAAAGCAAAATACTCCAATCCTACTTCCAGCCCTCCTCCTGTACCATCTCCGTCTTTGCCCATCCTGACAACCAATTTCTCACGTGGCCTCAGAAGCAACACAAGCAGGTGGAGAACCTGCGAGACACAACTGAATCTTCTTGGAGGTCTTTTGTGCCTCTAAATAAAAGAAAGCAACTGCGTGGACTCACGAGTTCTAGGTATGATCTGATCGATGCTCAGCGCTGGTCCTGTTTGCTTGGAGATGCATCACGTTCAACTCACCCAACTTTGTTTCTGGGCAGACGTGCAGAGGACGTGGTGGGGAAGCCAAAACAGGATCCAAGACAATGGGAGGATTCCCCTCCCTGCCGCTCTCGATCTAACACCCACACCTTCACAACAACTAGCCCCCACGAAAGCCGTCCAGCTGAAGCAGCCTCTGCCCCACGTCCTTCCAATTCCATATCCTCCGGGACCTTCTGAAACACAGAACGCAGAGCTGGCGACAGGCTGAATGAACACCGGTGTTTCCATTCACGGCATTTGCCTGACTGCAGTGGACGTTCAGGGGCTGATCAAAGGCTTTGCTTCCCAGCCGAGCAGACTCTTCACCAGCCCGATTCCCATAGAAATTCCACCAGGAGCGCGATCCAGAGGCTACAAACAGGAACTCAGCCTCACCCCTCAGCGCCATGCTTTCCTTGCCCGAGGAAGTGGAGCTGCCGCCTCCGAATTAAGGGTGAGTTTTGCTGGCCACCCCTTCCCGAACTAGAAGAGCCCCAGCAAAGGGGCGGGGGCGGGGGGGGGGGTCCCAGTCTTGCCGGCCTTCAGGAGGGCCGAGGCCCGGGCGGCCGGGGCG